ATTCAATTTAATGTTTTTAACATCTGAGTACTATTATTTAAAAAGTAAACTTAACAAAAGCTTGAAATGCATTACATAATACAATACAGTTTTGGCCACGTATCGCTTTCCAAGTATTATTACATATCCTCCTGGTTTCGAACCTTTCATTTAAATCCCTTGGGTTTACATCTTTGTGAAAACATTGTTTTTTGTATTGTTGTTTTGTGCATCTTCTTTGTTTCAAATAAAGTAATTCTGCTTTGTCGTGAAATTCTGCCTTCTTTTTGCCCATACTTTCACCATCTGTCCATTTAATGCTTCTTTAAATCCAGAAAACATTACTGTTGAATATAAATCAGTAATGTAAATAGCATGTTTTGATCTTCAACTGTAAGGACCATTTTTTCTTTAGTTCTCTAAATATGTTGTGATTGAGTGGGCTAAATACTTACTGTAAATAAAAAATAATATAACACGTAAGGTATAATTTTCTAAATTATTTCTATTTAACCTTTCCTCCAGATGCTCTTATTTAACACTGTAATTTCTGAGTTTTTTAAATGAACCCCTTTTTTAAAAAAAGGGTATAATTTTTGTTTAGAACCTGAAGACATAGAAACATGGTTTTCTTGGCCTACATTAATGTCTAAAACTGCAAGGTCCAAGTTATTTTGGGTGATCATTGAAATGTTAAAAGATATGAAGAAACAAAAGACAATCTACAGAAAGTAGAAACTACTTGATGAATCATTTAGAAGACTGCTATCTCCTTTTATTTCATTTACTGTACATTTGAAACTTCTAAAAACTGCTTTACAACTTTGAAGGCCTTATTGGACAAATGAATTAAACAAATTTAATATATCAGGGGTTAATTAGCACACACGGGTAGTTAAGGAAAAACAATTTAAAATGGTACAGAGATGTATAGGAAGTTATTTAAAGTGAAGTTTAATTGCTCTATTCAGCTCTGACTCCTGGAGAGTTCCAATCTAGTCAATCTTTTAGGTCAATACTTTCTAAAGATTTGGAGCACTTTTTAATGATTGATAAATTAAGTGGTTTGTTCAAAACAAAGAGCACGATTTGGTCCCACGATTTCTAAATTGCTTAATTTAACAAATCACATGATTTATCACACCAAAATTTTTTCCAAAACTTTAGAAATCTTCCAGCTTACGATGGAAGACTGCATTTTTAAACTATATGGTATGTGAAAGCTTCAACATCTCAAAAAGGCATCCCAAGATTGAGACTTTTTTTTACCTTAAAACCCTGTAGACAGTCTGGCTCTCCAGCACCAAGACAGAGGAGCCTTGATCTAGACACGCACTGTATATCATCACATAATTGAATAATGTAAAAATAGTACCATTATAATCTGGTGATATGATATTGGACATACTGTACAAGATTCAGCTCTGCAAGGAAGTCTACCTGACCCGTGTTCCACATCAGAGTAATTTAAGTTATAGATAAATAATGTTGTGATAAATTACATTGGCTTTGTAAAATAGCTTTCGAGAGAAACACTTTGGATTTCTAAATGTCTTCTGCAAAACTAATTTGTCTACTGTAGGTTCTGTTTAAATGTTTCCAAAGGTAAAAATGTAAATACAAAAGATGCCACAATTCAAGATCAAATTATAAAGAAAAGTGTTTAAAACAGCTGGAGTGTATTTATCAGCAACATGAGTGACCACCTCTGTCAGCTGAGTCTTCCAGTCTGTTGACCTTTGCTGTTCATTGTGTTTCCAGCAGGACTGGGACGGCTCCCTCCCATGATGCACCGGCAGAAGATGTCTGAGGGCCGCTCCCAGTGGGCTTCAGGGTCACACCCCCCCCGGGCTCACAACACTGAGGCAATAGCCAAGGCCAAAGGAAACGGAGCAGGAGGAGGAGGAGGGAGGAGATCCAGCTTCATGGGGCAGATCATTCCCATTTACGGTTTCGGGATTTTCTTGTACATCCTGTACATTCTCTTCAAGGTATGTTAACCTTCTATGCTGCATACTGGTAATAAAGGTTTAAATACGAACTTACTGTAATGGTAAATGCATAATATCTTTGAGTTTCTTTCTTCAAAACTCCTCTGTGTCTCAGGTTCAGGAATAAAATAGAGGAATAGATAGATACTTTATTGATCCCGTGAGGGAACTTGTATTGATTTGTGTTGAGTATGTCAACCTGCATGTGAAACTGGGGTTTAAACAAAATCCCTAAATGTTTCACCAGGGATTTCATGAAATTGCTAAATACTTCAGTAAATACTGTATGTGAATTCACACGCTGAAAACAGACATTAAAGTTTAATCCTTTGCCTTTTACTGTATATGACATCATTGCAGTGGTCACATGTGAAAAAATTAGGGGCATGTTTTGTGGCTGATTATATTAACTTACCAGTAATCTGGGATCTCACATATGTCTATTTTGTAAATTGCTTATTTTTTTGCTTATTATAGTTATTTTTTAGGAAAAGTGTTGTGAAAAAATAATGCTGGTTTTTCTGTTCTGAATCAGATGAAGGGTATGTTGATAAAAAAACATTGATTGAAAAGGGATTGGTTTGACATACAGTACATACAGCAATGATGCCACAAAGTTTTAAACATATGACCAACCTTGTGATTACAGTGAACACACATTAATTAAACTTCTGTTCACAGCTGATTGACATCATTATGATGTAATAACACTTTGCACAAGACAGGCATCAGATTTAGTACAATTTGTAAAAACACTATCATTTTTTAACAGATTACGTCCAAGGGCAAAAATACTAAACATGACCATAGGTTCCCTGCTTTGAAAACAGAAAATATGAAAAGAAAAATCAGTAAGTATTTGAATTAATATCTGTAGTTATTATGATTATTGTTACTTTCATTTTTGTATTTTTTCAGAAAGATGGCACATTTGCAGTAAAGACTTGCACTCAGATTTCTTTAGCAAATGAGGTTCAGGCAGCACATAGGAGAATTAGATAAAATAAAAATTAAAGAAAGTACTGTAGATTCACTGTAGGCACTGCACATTATGATGCTGTTACTGTGAGTAACAGTGATACAACCCTGTAAATCTTAGTGGATATAGCCACTGACGAGGAGCAAATCTTCTGATTAAGGAAAATCTTTTTTCTTACAACACCCTTTACATTTCTGTCGATTTCTTTGTGACCTTCCAGCTGATTTTAATCTTTTTGTTTTGACTGCCTTCCTCTCAGACCCCCACTGCACAAATCATCAGCTGAGATATGAGCATCCCTGATAAGGTAGATTAAGATCCTGTCCAATTCATAGGGAGCTTTGTTGGTGCCGTTGTTAAACCTGGATTAGCAAACTAAGTAATGTCATATCAGCCCAGCAGCATCTTATAGCAATTAGCTGCATGTCTTTGGGATCAACACTAAGAGGGTTTAGTTGCATTCATCAAATGGATGCCGAGGGGCTACTGCTACTGTGACAAGGATAAGAAGAAACATTTGCTTTGTCTAATTGTGTATGTGCATTCAAGATGTCTACATTCAGCTGTAGTCTAGGTGGTGTCCTCCACAAAATATGATAAAAAAGTTGTAAATACAATTTAAGGAATAAAAAAGTTTGTTGTTGGGATTCTGGTTGTGTGCAGGCAAGATCATTGTGGAAAGGACATGGGGCTTATAATCAATTCCAAAGCAAACAAGAAAATGTGTTTAATATTGCTTCTTTCGTGATTTATTATATTCTAAGTGTGAATAATAAGCTTGCATTTGTATATGTGAACATGTTCCTTAGCTGCTTCACCCTCCTGTTCTACACAGCTCATCTTAGTAGAGTGAATGGGATCTTACTGCTGAGTCGATTTTGGTGTATTTTCTGCAGTACATGTAGCTGCAGTGACATGCTGTAAGTCCATGCACTAATGAAAGGACCTCATAGCCACCTCATGTGTACAACATCTGCATTCTTGCACAAACATCTCTTCTTTGGCGCTTTTAGCTGACTACGAGCTGGCACAACTTCAAGAGAAACTGAAGGAGACAGAAGAAATGATGGAGAGGATAGTATCCAAAGTGGGGCATCACCCAGATGGGTAAAACACCTGCCGTTTGCATTTATACAGTGTTGTTTTTTTACGGGTGCCGCAAAGTATTTACACATTAAAATAAAAATATATTTCAAGGAACAGTTATTAACAGCAGTTACCATAAAAATAAACACAAAAGTATTTTCATTTAATATTTACATTTGTAAAATCTCAATTGACTTTTCTTTTTAAAAGGGTATTTTTATAGTCTTTTTTAATCTTAATGTGAGTATATCAGGATTGAAAACCTTCTGAATATTTACAACCCAATCATACATTATTTATACACATGCATGTAATTTATGTTGGCAGTTTAATTTAAGCCCAGAATTATGTGACGTATGATAAACAACTTATGAAGGTGGTCTGGAATATAAAGTTTAGAATTTTTGTCGAACTCATCTGATTATAAGCCAGTTGCTGACTAGCCCGGACAGACAAAACAGTTTACTTTTCTTTTGTTCATTTTACACGAGTGTTTCCAGAACAGTTCATTTCTGATCTGCTTTGTTTTCAGTTTCAGTGCCTGACGTGTCCATCGTCATTTCACACTATGGCGAATTTCCAATACGTACTGTAGTACATGATGTGCACAAAAGAACACATGGCCCATTGTGAAGGCTGTTGTGGCACTGGAGCAATTCAGACGTTGAGCAGCATAACAGCACCTATACTCTGTGAAATAAAATTATGTATTGAGTATTTATGTTCCTTGTTCATAGCTCATGAAACGCAGATTGTGGCAGGAACAACCTTGTCTTTTCAAAAGGTGAATACGAGTTTGACAAGCAATAATAATAATAATAATGTAGAACAGGATCAACATGTCCAGTATGCTGATTTTTAATCACTTTACTAACGTACTAACCAATTGTTTTAATTAGTGTCATAACAATGCAATAATGTTCTGGCTTGATTGAGCGCCACGTGCTTCACATTATCCATGTGCCTGGAAGTGTGCAGTCGATATGAAATGTCATATGTGTCGGTGAGAAGGAACAGTTCAGATTTTATTGATTAAAGCAGCCTGAACTGTGCTGTTTGCTCAGAACTGTTATGATTAATTTTCTCATCCGGTGTGTCCTGATTACAGGATTAAAAGTGTCACCACTGAGCATGAAGAAAAATTACTCCGTCAGCTGAATGAAATTACACGGGTGATGCAGGAAGGCAGGCTCATGGAGGAGGTCTCCCCAGAGAAGGAAGCTGAGGAAGTGCCATACTCAGAGGGCTGGGAAGGTACAGCATTGCCCCCACTATCTCAGTTGCAGCCACTCCTTTACGGACAGGCCGTAGATTACACTGTATCAGCCACGTGATAGAGTTCAAAAGAATAAGAGTGTCGCATTGCATTCACATTTTCAAGATACCAAGGAACAAAATGTAATCAAGGCCACTGCCTTTTTCTGAGGTTCCACAAGCTGATTTTCAAGGCTTTAGTTCTTAAACCATGCGTACAGTTCACCTTGTACTGTGGTTCCTCCAGTCTTCAATCCACTAGGATAAAAGCCACACATCTGAAGAAGGCTCCACAGCCGAAACGTTGTGTTTCCTTTGTTCTCTTTTCAGCAGGGAATAAACCTTTACTTGTTCCTAGGATGGAAGACTACTTCTTGAGGACAGATTTTATTTGCTGATGCTGATGGGAATATATAAATCTGTTTATGCAAGTCTAACTAAATGACAAATCAAATGTGCAACCACAGCCAAAAAAAGCCAGTGATCCGAGGGAGACCTTATTTCCCTCACACCACACCTACATTGTGGTATTGTTTTGGAAGGAGGGTTAAAATCCTAGCCCTGCCTCCCTCGCTATGCCAGGGCTTTGACCTTGCTCGTGCTGCCTTTTTTTTTTATTGCTGTGTGTGTTCTCAAGGCTACCCCGAGGAGACCTACCCCCTGCACGAGGAACCAGCCTGCTGCAGGCAGGGGTACAGCAGGGTCGTGGTGGAAGGCTTCGACGCAGGCCACACATCGGCGGAGGAGCTGGCAGAAAGGATGGAAGGCATGGAGGGCGTGGAGCCAGAGGAGTGCTACTCTGTGCGCAGCCTGGTGCAAGAACAAGAGCCGCTCCAGCCGGGTGGAAAGCAGCTCCCCTTCTGTACGCAAAGGGATGCGTTCCAGTACCAGGGGGAGAGCGCTGGTGATGACGAGGGCGAGGACGACGGCGGAGATGACGACGCTGGAGGGGACGAGGAAGAGGACCCTGCCGTAATAGCGGAGAGCCTCAGCTTTGGCTGCGAGTCCTTCAGCGATCAGGAGGAAGAGTGGGACGTGTCCTGCCAGGCAGCTGGAGCTACAAAGGATGAGAGCCTCCAAGAAACGGAAATTGCGAATGAGCTTGCCTTTGGGGTGCTCAGAAAACGCAATAAATAGGAGCTGGAAGAAACACGTGGACTTCATTCCCCTAAAGCAGTTGCCAGTCTGGAACACCTTAATCCTAACTTTCCATGTGGGCAAACTGTACAGTGAATGAATCAGATGTGCAATATGCCCACAGGCAAGATCACGCCCTTTGTGTTTGGTTGACAGAACATGTTTTTTTAAATGTGTAAATCCTTGCAGAAAGGGTTGCAGGTGAAATATGTTGCATGCATGGGTCCCACACTTCCAGTACCAAACCTTGAAATTCTTTTTCCAGCTTTACACATCAAGGAGGACTGTGTGAAAGTATTATACAGTTTCTTTGTTGAAGTTAAGGGCAACAGCTTTCAACCACCTGTCAGCTACTAATTTATTTTTTATTCTAATTTAAATTGATGTTATTGGGTCTTAAGCCTTTTGTCCTACAGTGGACTGCTAGTACAAAAAAAGACTCCAAATTCAAAGTTTTCACAGTGCATTTCAATCTGTTCTACAGCACAAATTATACTTATTACTAGATACTAAGGATATACAGTAGACTATTAACATCAAAGGACAGTAATATGATTTTTATATGGAGACTTCAAAAATGTTTTGTACACCACATTCTGTTAAATCTATATTGTACATTGGAATTTATATCTAGGATGTATGACATAATTCTACCAATAGAATTGTTTTATATTATTCTTATTATGATTGTTAGCATAATATTATTAGCTTACCATGGTTCACCTATTGACCTTAATTTTCAGCATGTTTAAAAAAATAAGTGATCCTGGAACAATAAAATTAAAAAAAATGATATCTCATTAGAATAAAGTCTTTATTTTCTCCATAATTATAGTATGTAAACAAACACTGTACATAGAACAGCATACACATTGTACATAATTACAATATAACACAATACTATTACACATACATAACAAAAGAGCTTTCTTTGTTCCTCAATATAAAGGTATTTATATGAAAAGCACAGTTTTATAGTATTCTCTAGACATTTTCCTTTATTTTTAGTCTAAGGACAAAGAAATTTGATCACTTTATAGGACAAGACATTTACTTGTGAGAAAGCAGAATTCAAGTCCAAATTGTTAGTTCAAAATTATTGTTGATTATTAATAACGATGAGTGAATCTTTTCATGGATTGTTCTTGGCCTTTTTTGAAAGACTAGTTTTCTTATAGTATAGTTTATAGTATAGTAAACTTATAGTTTTCTAGTGTGTTATATTTGAAGTCTAACCTAAGATTTTGACATCTGCTTAAGAAATATGGATCACAGCACCTTTTGTTTTTGAAGTATTTCTTAATTTCTGTGACCTACTGTAAATATTAACTGAATAGATTCCATTAGCTTCAGAGGTAAACAATAAGGCTAGATTTTAGTAAACTAGTTATTTCTTTTTAGAAAAGTTGGTGCATAGTGCATTTTGAGAGGGTCTTAACGATTATAGTCTGACAGCACAGAAACAGTTTTTAATTGGGTTACAAATTCCCCCTCCTTTTGGATTTGCCTTCAACTGAAACAAAACTTTACATGAAAGCAAAGCTTGCAATATTATGAATTACAGTGCCTTGCAAAATTATTCAGACCCTTGCACAAATTTCACATTTTGTTGCTTTAAAGCTTGCAGTCATAACACTGTGAAGTAGCAATTAATATCTGTTACATACACATCCTATTACACACATTCAAAGCAAAACATTTTAGGTGCACATAATTATCTCAGTGAGACCAAAAAAATGTATGTGAGCAATTATAGTGGTTCTCATAATCTGAGAATAAAGTAGCTCAAGTAGGTAGTTGTGTCAGCATGCGTAGGCTGCAAGGGAACAATATTTATTCCATGCTGAAAATCAAAGAAAAGCAACACAACATTTCAGCTGTAGAGCCTTCTTTAGGTGTCACCTGAAGACGTTTTGTTTCTGTTCTTCTCTTTTCAGCATGGAATAAACCTTTACTTGTTCATTTGAGAATAAATACATCCGTCTCTATATGATCCTTTAATCAGGTAGCGAATTTCAAGCAAAGCTTCATTCATCAATACTAAAGAGCTTTCAAAACAACTCACCAATAAGGTTGTAGAAAAGTAAAGACTAAGAGAAGGATATTTCAAAGACAATGAATATCCCTTTGAGCACAGTAAAGTCAATCATTGATAATGACAAGGAGTTCAAGATGAAAGAAAGAGGGTAAGTGGGAGAAAATGCTGGCTGGGGTGGCAGAGTAACAAGACGGAGGCCATTATTGAAAAAATACCTACAGCCTGCTTGCAACAAAAGACTTAAGTGATACTGCAAACATGGCAAAACATTTTACAGTCATACGAGACAAAATTCAAACTTTGTGATCTAAGTGCAAGTGTTTAGCAGACCTGACACAAACACGAGATGCATCTCTCATCCAACACCTTACCTATTGTCAAGTACAGTCTTGCAGCATTGTGTTCTACTTCTGCTCATCAGCAGGCAGTGGCAAGCTTGTCAAGAATGATGGGAACATACAGTACATGTAGGACTAGATATGGAGGTTGAGAAGACAAATTCAAGATCAGACAGCCTAATGTTGCATTAGCACTGAGAACAGAAAAGTTATACTCCACAAAAAGAAAGCTTCATATTAAATTTCTTTGTCTCCAAAAGGCACAATATTTACAGCTGTTTCACAGACACGTTAAAAGCTAGATAAAGTGCTGCTTCCTGTACATTATGAACAAAATCTATTACCAGTTTAACATTTGTGACGGTGACTCATTTTAAAACCTGATTTATAGGTCTTCCCTGGAATAACAGTATTTTTCAGGTAAAACAAAGCTTATTTCTTTCAATAGTATAGGTATACCTGCTGCAGGGAAAAAGTTTTCTATTTTTGTCCTAGCTAATAATACAAAATACTTATCTTCACATAAAAAGCAAACATAAATATATAGTATATGTTAAAGGAGCAAAAATAAATTCTCTAAAATTCTTCATAGCCTTATATATATATAGAATTCATCACAGTACACTCAGTCTTTTTGCTTTGTGTTGCAACTAATTCATTAAATGTCTCTGACAAGAAGAGAAAAACATTAAGAGGCTCAATACCATGACTTCATTCGGTCTGACACTCTTTTAATATCCCAGTTCATCAAGGATAGATTAATTCCTCATCCATCATTAGAGTAGTGCAATGGGGTGTAATTAGGGAGCAATGCATATGTTTCTGGGAAGAGGTAAAGTGTTACTGTTAAGGCTAAATGCCAATGATAAAGGACATTTTTGATAACAGCACTCATATACAGTATGATTAAGTGTCAAGGTATCAGGTATATATGTTTGCAGTAAGTCTTTGTTCTGGACAGTTCTTTCAGTTTACGCTCAGTAGATACACATCTGATGAATAATAATAAATTATTTCATACTGTATATTACAGAATATTGAATTCAATTAACTATATTTGTAAGGCATTTTTTATTTAATTTTGCTGGTGTCTTTGCCAGTGTTTACTATTGGTTATTATACAAATGGCTGCCTTCCTTCCGATAGGTGCTGTTGTCTGATCCTTCAGTATTACATATTCTGAGAAAGTTCCTTCTAGGACTGCTGTGAAAGCTAACCAGCAAAACAGTGTGACAGCCTTGGAAACCACACCTTTTTTCAGTCCACCATTATTTCTTCCAAATACAAAATTAAAAATCAGAAAAACAGTTGTTTCTTTACAATGAACAAACTGAAATTAACTGGTAGTCAACATTTACTCTTGTCTCTACTGACTTCTGAGAACAAAGAATGATAGCTATACAAAATATTATTTTAGATTTTTTCCATTTCTTACTTGATTTAACTGCACTATACAGTTTGTTTGTTCCACTCTAACAATCGTTTGGAATGCAGTTACCCTTCTGATTCCAAACTAAGTCCTTCTAATTGTGTAGGAGGGTAGAGCTGTAAACTAAAATGAAAACTTTACAACACCTACTGTACCAAATTTTGTGCTGTCCTTGCCATTCCTGTGCTATTCAGTATAGATCTACTGTATATCTAATCTGGTGTGGCAATGAATGTTATTCACACATCCTGGCATGCTTCACTGGGCAAACTGGGCACTGCTCTTTGATGTTTGTGAAGAGGGTCTTGATAAAAGGTTAAAGTTCAACTTAGTGAAGTTAAAAAAAATGTTGACATCAAAAAATAATTGCTATGATATGGTCGTTCGGTAGTGAAGCAGTAGTATGGAAGATCCCTGAAACTTGTATTGACACCACAGAATAAAATGACCTGCGTAAAGAAGCTTGAAATGATACTGCTGTACACCACTAACCCTCAAAATAAGGACTTGTGTTAAATTAATTAAATCACTCTTTGAGACTGAAGTTACTGAGTACAAGATCTACAGTAATAATTAGATGTACTGTAACACTTACTCTATAAAACTAAGTATTATTTTGTTGTTGACAAAGTTACTCAGTTGCATGAACTGTTGCAAATTTTATGTTAAAAGACTGAACAATTAAGAAATATTTTAGATCAAATTTGTCTTAAAATTACTATGAAATTGGTATGTTAATTAGGATTACAGGACTTCTGCATTTGTAATTAAAGTGCCTTTTCAGATGGCAGATGATAGTTTGACTCATTCAAGGACAGGTTGCTTAGGATGAGGCAGAAAAGAGGTACTTTGTAACACTCTGACTACACCTTGTATTTCCGAACGTATTTCTTTTTCACTTGATGACCTGCTGGTAATAATTTCTGAATTTTGGAACTGAAGAAAAGCAACAAAAATGTTTTGAAAACATCCCAACCAAATGTATGAAAGTCGTAGAAGCAGCAAATTACAGCACTGACTGCACCCGCAGTGCATTTCAGGATTGCTTAAGCACTAAGCAGTGTGGGTTTGAAGTACAGCAGCTTGTCTGGTGTATCTGTTCTGTGCTGTCTTAAGAGAAGCACTACAGACATCCAGAGTTCTCACTAATATACTTATATTTTATTTTTCACAATCAATCTCTTTTTAAAAAGTACCACAAACTACTTTTAAAATATAAAAAAAAATCTCTTTTTCATTTTGTGTTTTCTGCCTCAAAAAACAGTTTGGTTTCAAATCAGCTTAATTAAAATTGTTTTAGCTTAAAGCAGTAACTTAATTGTTTAGGATACAAGCAGATTTGGCTAAAACTTATTACAACACTCATTAAAGCAGTAAACGTACAGTAACTGCAGGATAATACATAGTACAATACCTTATTTGGTCCGTCACATATGAACCACAACATAACATGTTAACAATATTCAGTGTGTATTCATTGTGATACAATTAATTTAAGGGAGACAAATTACACTAACAAAATAATTAGAAATAAATTAATTGGATTATTTACAGTACAGTATATGAGGTTAACAGGAGATTTTTCTTGTGGAAGTAGTGTATCTTGGCTGGTTGAGCAATGAATGCACATGGAAAGAATATCATTTACCTATAATATTATTTTGAAGAACCAAGAAAGGTCTTGTTTTGAATTTGTTAACTATACATAAGAACAGGTGGAGGAGAAAACATGACAAACCTGGGCTTAAGTTATAACAAGTTAATTAGATAAAACTTAGCTTTCTCACTTTTTGTAAATTCACATGGGGTGAAAATAACACTCTTACAAACAATTAAAATGAAAAGATGGATCATAATAAAAATGTCATTAAAGATGTGATCTATAAAAAGCTGATCCCAATGCAACATTGAATTCCTCCTTGTGCTTATCTTCTATCCACAGGGGATATGTCTGCTAGTGTCCTGAACAGTCAAAAACCAGCGTTCAGCTCACACTCAACAGTGCAGCTTTTGCACAGTTCTATTGCCTTTACCACCATATAACCATAAAGTGGAAAGGCCACTATATCGGACGTCATCACCTTTTGAGTCTCCGCAGTTTTTCACGGGAAACAAAAGTCTAAAGCATTTCAGGCCATTTCAGGGATCTCAGCCTGGTCCACACAAATCGAGGAAAGTTTGGACATCTTCTCCATTATCTTACTCACAGGCCAGTTTACTATCGAAGCTAGAGAGTGCAATAGCAAAGGCCTGCAGCGCGCACATGGGGTAATTGTAATCCATTGTGAAAACATCTTCAGCCACGCGGCCAAACTGCATCACTATATAGTCAGCTGGAAGATAAATACATCAGTGCAATAATGAAACATATATGACGAATACATCCAAACACACTGTTTTGGAAAGCGCAGACTTTCCAGACTTGACCTTCCCTTTAATGCTTGTAGAAACCTTCATTCAGCCTTAAAACATCCACTTCTTCATTTATGTATTTATATTTTGCAGCTTATAAAAAGCTATGGAAAACAGCAGCTTAGCAACTCTCTAAATCTAGGTTAGTTATAGTACTGTAAAGACCACCGGATCAGAATTGTAACATGGGCTCCAATAGACCCGATTAGCATATGGTTCTGATGGGACACTAGGCGGTGACTAAACTTTTCTTGTGTCCTTGATTAATAGTATTTTTCTGCTGTTATTCTTAAGTATGTTTAGGTGCTGTTATGGTTATTTTGTGCTGGACCCTAGCCTTGGAAAGGCTTGCAGAATACAATCAGTGAGGAGGCACCCAGATACACGTTCTTTGTCTGAGAAGGAGTCTGTTCTTTCAGTTGCGCTCTTATCTTGGTATTAAAAGCACCAATTCTGTTTGAGAGCAGAGATTCAATCTCCCCATTTTTCAAAGCTCTCACAAGCACTTGTAAGTGCTGTGGTACTTTCATTTCATTTATCAGAAGAAAGTACTGCATTGTGTCCCAGAAACACATAAGGTAATCCTTCTGACAATAACACATATCCACATTTACATGATCATAACTAGTCATACAAAGTAAATCAAGCACCCCTATTTCCTTAAACATGTTCTTTGGAAAACTTTATGATAAAATTACAATAGGATCCAATCCTCTACTACTAGGTAATAATAAATATCCCATCTTATGAAATAAAGAGAAAAGAGAAAATCTTGGACACTTACGATCGTTGTCATGGATGATCTGGAAATTCTTGACAGACGCCTGTGTGACCCTTCCATGGAAATTAAGGACATAGGACTGGGTGTCGTCATTCCAGACTGGGGTCTTGTTGTGCAGCTCAATCACACTCTCTGTGTTTTTGTTCTGCCACCTAGCAAGCAGAGACTCATGATCCTGGCAAAGCAAAGTCAAACGAAGAGGCGTATCAGGTCTGTACATACAACCCAGTCACAACCAAACAGAGTAATTAACAATAAGAACCTAAAATTTCCATCCATCACGCTAGGTATTCTGATCTCAGACTGACTTACTGTATAATAATTATCTGAATTAGACAATAGACATTAGAATTAGACAATAAATAGACAGATCTTATTGTCATAGGCCATAGCTGAATAAAATACAATTTTATAGTGTTTTAGTACTACGATGAATAAAATACCATGCAAAATATTTAAGCAGTATGTAAAGTGTTTGCAGTTTTTATTGTAATTACTCAGTTAATGTTAAACTAACAGTACATTTAAAAAATGCTTTGATTAAGAGTTATGATCTGTAAAATTATAAAACAAAAATAAATGTTTCAGCAGCATATAATTCTTCATGCAAAGAATGTCATTTAAATAAACAAGGTTTACAGAAGTTACTCAGGTGTGTGAAGAATAAACATATGCAGAAGACAAAGACCATTTGGTATGAATAAATAAGTGCTGCTTCAACTGTACAAAGAAAAGAAAATCTATTTTCCACAAGAGAAGTTCTTAAGGAGAACAAAAACAATTATTTCCATATCAAGACACTAAACTCTTCCATCGAGAACTGTCCTGACAGGTATTTTAATGCTTTTCCTCCAGTTCTTTCTAGATCATTACATTCCAATTCATTACCTATCGTATTACAGTTTTTAGTGATTTAGCATATTTTGTTGCTGTTTCACAATTGACAGTAAGTGACTGTGAACAGATAGGACTGAGCAGGAATGTGTTTACTTCTTTTAATTCCCTTTGAAAAAAATATCACATCCTGACGCACTTACGTTTCGTGGTCTAATTGAGACTCTCTCATGATCCATGTTCATACCGGGAATGATCACACTCATTTTTCTGGGGCCTTTAAAACCTAAAACATTTGTTTCCTAAAAAATATCAGGAAAAAGGATAATTAGGGTTAATATGGGCATTAACTAGGGTTAATTTTTAATCACATTTATTTTAAAAATGCAAATCCTCTTTCTGAACACTAGATGTCTCATTGCTTCATGTTTCACAGATGAAGTACAGGACCACTCCACTCCACGGAGAAATATTGGCTTGTTACATTTACTATTTTTAAACAACGTAATACACTGCATTTACCAAAAGACTGACAGTTTCAAGACTTGTTGTTAAGTGAGGAAGAATTTTGGCATTTACCTTTTTTATATGTACAAGATAGTAACTATTTGTCTTTGCTAACAAGCCCTTTCTGACTTAACAACAGTTTGAACTTTCCAATTCAATAAAAACCCACATGTATAATTAAATAACATCCAAATCTCTCTGAATTGTCAATCAATTAATTTTTTCACACTTGTCAAAACAGCATAAGTTGTCTTTGTATTTAAATGTTTTTCTTGAAGCAAAACACTGATAAAACTGATCTTCCATGGTGTCATCAGAAAGTAGTCCGATTTAGATAGAGAACTTATGTATGAAATAAAAATACAAAATAGTTGTTCACATGAAGAGGAAAAACACTTAAACTCTACTTTAAAAAGTAACAATTATTTTATATAACTAGTATTTCATAAAAATACTTTTAATGTCTTTCAGGTAAATGTACTCATCAATTTTAAGAAGCATCTTTTTATGGTATTAGAGTCTTATCAAGATAAACTACAGTTTTAAGTAGCATAATGAATTTAAAGAATAAATCAAACATTTGTCATTGTGAGATCACAAAGAAATTAAACAACCCCCCCAAAAAAATACCCCAAACTGGCAATTATTATTTTCTTTTCCAATGGCACAGAAAGTTTCAAGAGATAATGCACACGCTGCTTATGACACATTCATGTTTTACTTTCTTCAAATCATTAATGCAGGTCAACTTTGAAAAAAGGGACTTACATAGCAGATAGCTGCTAATTCCTGACGAAGGTTACTTGCTTCTACACTGGAAGGAGTCTTCATAGGATTCACACCGCTGTCATAAACTGTAAACTTGGTCCCCATTAAGTTTGATCTGAAAAATACATAAGCAAGTGGCTGCAATTATCATGGGCTCCAGGAAGCAGGTTTCAAGCAATAAAACAAAATTCACATCAGCTGTCATTGATGCAGCCTACAAATCTGATTATTCAATCAATGCCAAACACCAGGGAAATGGCTTAAGTGGCTGCCAGAGCCAAATATATTACAGCAACATAAAGGGCTGAGTTAAATGGCTGCTCATAGAATCCTGATCTATTTCAAGACAATAAAAACAATAAAACAATACAGTCCTGCAAAATATTGTATCTTGTATCATACTGAAGTGCAATTTGTGTGTCTTTCTGTTAAGGGATTTTATTTTGAGTAAAGGCATAAAAAATTAAACATGAAAGTATTTCCAGCTCAGACAAATGTGTTCAGCTGACTTAAAATGACCTTGCCATGTAATCAAGCTTACATAATGCAGTTTAACAAACTATAGCTAACAATGCTGAAAAGGTCAGTTGCTCATCTAACAACCACACCTGAACTGCTCGAGTAACAGAATGACAGAAAAAAAGAATGAAAAAGAGAGAGAGAGGATTTGACACTTCAAGATAAGCTTCACTTATGATAGATGAGTCACTTCTCTGAATCTGAACTGACATTTGAGTACTGTCTTTTGAAAAAAGTCTCTTCCAGAGCACACCTGCAAAGCAGCTAGAGCAAAGCTGTTATCATTAAGGATCACGAATGTCATTTTGTGCCCTTGAAATAGAGGCCCAGTGTTTCATTTACCGCTATAGTAATTATACCACAAGAGGAAGGGATCTTATATATTTTCACGACCAAAATATTCTCACTCTGTTTAAAATGCAAGTGAGACATTTTTATTTTCTCATTCCATTAATGCCGTAACGGCTGTAATCCATCTTCCTAAGCAAAATGATGTGGATGCTCATCAGTAATCTATATGAAAATAAATGAGACTTCATTCTGCAGCAATAAGGTCTTTTGTTCCCCAAAGACCTGTGCTGGTGCATAACCCAGTTCTCTTAAACAGAAAACTCAAAACAGGAATATATAAAAAAAAAACATGTTAAGAACTAGGAATCTCAATGTGCACAACATTTTATTGTTTATTTGAAAGGTGACTATATGGTACATATGCATAACCTCCTGGAATCCACAGTTCTGAGGGCAGTTTTAATCAAGGACTCCCTTCAATCATTTTACTGCTTCTCAGCCACAAAGCACCATAAGCACAGTAGTTACAATATAACACATATGAAGTGTAATTGATAAATAATTATATAGAGAGCTAAGTGCATTCCCCAACATTTAAATAGCAACAGATACATGTCTACCAATACATCCTGAAAGAAACTGAGAAAAAGAGCCTGACGTGCCTGACAAGTTGTAATTATATGTTGTACTCAAATGAAGAGGTATGAGATAACTTTCAAAATATTTTTGTGCTCTGAAGATACTGTTGGAGCAAACATTAAAAGGTTTGATAAAGCTGCAACACATAAGTGCATTGTGAAGCCGTCTTCTGAGACTGACCTTAGTTTCCCAATGAAACTTTCTCCACCGCGAGACAAATCAGTAGGGTCTATGGAGATGAGGTAATTTGAGGTCTTGCTCTTCTTTCGTTTCCTCCCAGCCAACAGGAAGACCTAAACAAAGCCCAATTCACTATTAAAGCCAATCAATGAAGAAGGTCATAACACAGCCTAACTCATAACAACAAGCTGCCTTTCCAGTGGCCTGATATTTCAGTCATATTAGCTGGATCTACGAGGCCAGACATTACATGAAGAAAATTACATCTGAAGAATACTAGTGCAAAACATGCTTGGCCAAAAAAATGATAGCTTGTAAAGCAGGGACATGAACAAACAAAAATGTTTAGGTGGATTTTCTGTGATGTGGCCATTCCCTGTGCGAATGTCACCTGCACAGTAATCTCTGGCACACAACAAACAGAAGTATTTCTGGTCCAGTTAAGAAAGAAAAAAATAACTTGGAGAAAATCCAGTGACACACAATATAGCGTTGCTTGTTGGTTTAGAAATAAGACTACTTCTACTTTTAATGGCTCTTTTGATATCTATCTGGTTGGCTTTAATATAACAAAAAATCAAAATCGATGCCAGAAGAGTTGTAAGCATCGTTTTTAGCTTTCCTTCAGAGACAGCTATAATACGCTGAAAACAATTCACAGCAAAAAAAATCTATAAAGCAATTTGCAGTATTTTCCCTATCAACCCCTTATCACCATGATTTCACATACTGATGGTTTAGAAGATAATTGAGACTGGGGATGTCAATGTCAGAGCTGTGATTAATAGCCTGTATTTAATAAGAGGTTCAGTCTAAAAAAGGCACATATCCAAAACCCGAATAACTATCAACCACAGTACATTCTTTATCCTTAAAACAAGACACAAGAGATCCAAACTCTGCGGAAATGATTTGGTTTGTGTTTAAGATTACAGTAAATTCATGCAAACACCCTCATATGCTTCACAAATATATTTAAATGAGTTAAAGAAGGAGCATTTCACATATTTCACATATGCAGATGTGCACTGTCAGTGTTTATTGAGTGCATATCATTATGTTAGACTTATATACATACCACAGTGAAACATACAACTAGCCACATGTGGTGATGAGTTTATAAAGATAGGGAGGGATGACAACCAAGTTCAATCAGATGTCAGTAATTCGCAATCACTCCTGACATAAATTTCTCTCATAAAATACTATAAATACTGTATATGATCCCCTTTTCTCCCTCATATACGGCTTTGTGCATCTGAACTCCACCCCATCTCCACCTCTGCAGCTTCCCCTGGGTCACTCCGCTCTCTGCAGAGAGTCCCAGCCTCCTCATCCTCTGGCCAGGAGGTCAGGCCTCAGCCAAGCAGCTTCAGCCAGATTGAGAACAAACACTACATAATCCTGTCAGGAAACTTAATGGGTGTTGTTATTCCTAGTTATTGAAATGTGAGGAAATTGAGTTTGGGTCACACTCTTAAAGATGGGAACCGGTGTCAAGAACCCCAGTTGTTGTTGGAGGCGCAGGTGATCACCCATGAACCACTACACCTTTCTTCACCAGAACTAGCATTCAGCCACCTCATATCAGCAAATTTAATAAAATAACTCTTCAGTTTGGTTTTATAGTAGTTAATGAAGACGTTTTTTTAGGTATTACATTCTTATAACTCATTGCTGAACGTTGTGTGTTGCAGGAAATACTTAGCAACACAGTACTTACAATTCTGCTGGCCTATTCAACCAACTGCACGGTGGAAACTTATAAAGCACAACAGTGAAATCTGCCAGACATTTTAAAAGGTGAGCTTTACAGTAGAAGCATGTTGCTATGAGGAATACAAGCCAGAGGGGACTGAAATCACAAGTCATCACTGCAGGGCGCATGCAAGCTAATATGGTGGTCAAATTCAGTTAATATATAACACCGTGATGTGACATTGACTGGTGTAATACATTCCCTGTGGTCCCATTTCCATCCATTATCCCCAGACGCTTAGTCTTAAGGAGCCTAAATGGGAAGACGCAGGGAGCAAGTTAGACTACCCCTGGATTGCTGTGCAATCAATAGCAATTCGAATGGAGCAATTCAATATACTGTATTTGCCAAACATAAGTGCCATTAATAGGGCAAAGAAAGAAGAGGGTTCAGGAAAGGGGAATAAGGGGACAAAGTAGCTTTCAGTGTACAGAGAAAATCGGGTTTCCCATCTCACACACAACAGCGAGGAGAGAAAAATAGTGCACACAGGAAAGGTAAAACAAGACATGCCGCACTGGGTCCAAACACATCAGTCTGTGAATATCTGCGCGGCCTGACCTTCTTGCCATCCTCCCTCTCCAGATGGAGGTAGTAAGTGGGGTACATTCCTCTGTCCATGCCCTTCTTGTCTCGTGTGATCCTGCATTTAATGGTGACGCCCTGGGGGGCCGGTCTCAGGGCGAACTCCTCCAGGTCGTCGACGTCCACCGCGGGTTCACTGGCTGGGGGGGTGGACGCGGACGCCGCTTCCTGAAGGACCAGGCGGCAATCGAGAGGGAGGGAGAAGGCCAGGGGGACAGACAACAAACATCAACCCATATCTTTCCACAACGGGGTGATTGCAGGCGGAAGTGCTATGAAAATATACAGGTAAAGCAGTATGACTATCATGTAAAATGTCATCTTATGTAAAGTGACATCTTAATACACAGAGCACGCGGTAATGTGAGTCTCCTAACAGCGCAGATTGAATTTCTTCATCCCTTCTCTCACATTTTCCACACATCCTGTTTTTTACCATCAAATGAAATGAGGAAAAGTTTTTCACAAGGTTTAGGCTACATTAAAAGTCGGACTTACACACCATGCACTAATTATAAACCCTGCTCTTGATGGCTTGAAGTTCCTATTTCTTCCAGGCCTAAGTCATAATGATATAGTTTATCTTCAAACTTCAGTTCTTTTATGTTTTTTGTACTTCTAAAACTCAGTTCTTCAAATCTGAGGATATTTGCAAATTACTCTTCCCCTTTAGGACACAAAGAGGATAAACGCTCTTTGCTCTAACCTAGATTTGTCTAGATTTTGTCTGGTAGCACAGATATAAATGTTTAGCAGAGAAACAGCGTCTAAGTGTCTGCTTATGTCACTGGAGATTTAACTCCATAGAAAAGATCAGTGACCAAAGGCCACTGCGTACCTTGTTCGATTTCTTGCTTGTGGCCGATCCTGGTCTGGTGTTGCTGTTGAGTTGAGAAGAACTGGAGCTGTCTTCATCTTCTTCATCTTCTTCTTCATCAAAGTTCATGCTACTGGATATGCCTTTTCAAAACAAAATGTAATTGAAATACTGAGTACATATACAGTACTGCATACCATATTTCAGTGTTCTCCATGATAATTTGAGTAGTTATAATGGATATAACAAATGAGAAGCAACATTTGACTGTGAAATTCTACAAATAAGCTGTATGAAGAATGGCGGAAACAGAAAATCCACAAAGTGATGTGCTTCTAAAACAGTATTATACAGATCAGCAAGAATACAGGAAAAAGGAATAAGTAACACATAGGAATATGATGCCTTAATCACATAATTCACAGAGTTGTAGGAACAGTAGACACCTGTTCTGCAGGCACCACTCTCACAATTGTGCTGGAGCCAGAGCCCACATGAATGATTCTGACAGGAGCTACATTTTTGCTGGCCATGCTGAGTTCTTAATGAGATGCCACACTGAGCTGTGCTCTTTTCTCCAGACCCATAATATTCTGGCATTTAGGACTGAGTAAATTCTGAGAGAACAGAAAGTTACTGAACTTAAAGTTACTGAAAAAAGTTTAGAAGCAAGTGTTACTTCGCAAATGCTTATTTTAAACACCTGATGAAAATAAAAAAATTAAGTGTTTTTTATATATTTGTGTGCCAACCTTACGTTCTGCCCAATGGAACTGTAATTTGCAAAGACCAGTACAACAGGTCAAATGCAAAGCAGTGGTTAACGACACTGACCAACAATGACCAACAAAGGAATCAGACCATAGGGCGGCCAGTACCTTTTTTCTGCATGGTGACTCGCAGGTCTTGCTTGCCCTGCTGCTGTGTACTGGTCACTGGGTCTCCTTCCCCCTCACATATGCTGGACTGTCCCACTGTCAGGATCTGAATCTGATTGCCCAGGTCCAGTGCCTCATCCTGAAAGGCAGCTGGCCCATCGATTCCTGCCAGATTACAAAATACTCCTGTCTGTCATCAAACCAATCCACAGACGTATTACCTGTTGACTCTGGCTGTGTGATAAGACACCCCTTACTGAAGCATAGCACTATGTTCACCAACAACCAACTTACAGTAGATGAACCACTAAGTGAGAAATTCAAAAATGCTTACTGCTACAAAATTCTTCAAAGGTGAACATCAGAATACAAGCACCCCCAGTTAAAAACACACTTCACTCATTTTCTAAGTTTAGTACACAAACCTATCATGCATATATGAAAATTAATTCCCACAAATTACTTTCTTTATGAATGGAAATATAGACACAAAATAGCCTCTGCATTAGTAATCAGTCAGAAACACATCAGCCCACTTTTAAAAAGCTTATCCCTGCTAGAGTGCATCAGTTTGTCTGTTCCCTTCTTTAGCTCTTAGAGATATCAGCAAATTATCTTATTTTCATTCAATTAGCTATAAACAGCAGAGAACATGATGTTCTTAATGCTTCAGATAGTCAGTAACACAAGCACTTAATATAATAAAACTACTTAAATTTACACAGAGGGAAAGAGACAAGGTGATAAAGTCATTAAGGCCACAATGAGAAACAAAACAGAAACCTTTCTGTTTAATTTTAATTAAAGGTATTTAACGAGTTATATAAAACCCTAGCTGAAGAGATATATAATCCTAGGAGCTATAAAAGTGTCATTATTTAATGCAACTCAAAATGAGATGCTACAGGTCTTGACTGTATCAAACCTCTTCTCATTTGTATTGTTGCTTTTAAAAAACCTTAATTTCTATTCAAAATGGGGATAAACATATTTGACGATTCTGAAAGGGTTCAAAAAGGCTTCGTTCAAAGGCGCTTTAAAAAATACATTCATCTCAATGCAAGTCAATGTCACACAAAGGAAATTAGTAATCTGAACAGATGAGTGGATATAAAATAAAATAAGGAACACGTATGTCAGTAAAACACTGCCAATGTCTGATGTCCCTGGTGGGAAAGGCGTCATGCCTATTTTTGTAACAAGCTGTTCTGTGTGATTCATAATAAACTAGGAAAAATAACACAGGTGTTGACTTTTTCCCGAGTCTGTTTTGCCTTACACTTATTAGCAAGGGAGGCAAATAAATTTGCAATCAGGTCAGGGAGCATTTCAGTGCCACTGTCATTATTTGTTTACTCTTTATTTCTTTAGGATGTTTGTATCCACTGACCTTTTTTTGTTACTAATGAGGTCTACTGCAGTGAACTCACAGTTTTTTTTTCTCTTCAAAGGGCATGGAGCAACAATGTGATAACCAGAGAAATCCAATCAGATTTGTGTTTTTCATGTCACAATCAGAACACCCTGTTACGGTTAACTGATTCCTACACGACATGAAATCTCAGGGATTGTGAAAGGCCCAAACTAAAAAAGACTGGACAGCTTATATGAAAGGAGTCAGTTCTGATTAGGGGTCTCCTGCAATGATTATAATTCTGCAACGTGAAATACCATCTTGTGGGGATAACTACAAAAACAGTACCTGCCAAAATGTAATTAGAAAACTCTGATGGAGAGGGAGTTAATAATACTGCCAACTTTCAATGAAAAACTGCCATCAAATCATTTCTTAGACCACACAACATTTTACACTTAATTAGGTAAAGTAAAAAGTATTAAGAAGTCCCATAATCAAGCCTGGAGAATCATCAGAGCAGAGCTTATCTCAAATTCTGAAACTAAGCAATCAGACAATAAACATACTGTATGTACACTGTTAACGGTATACTGTAGGTTGTACGTAACTCCCCCCAGATGCAACACTAGCACATCATGGGGGGAGTACATGGATACAAATGGTATCCATTTGTAGATCTGGGTGGACTGGAAACATTATCTGGAAGGGACATTGCTCAAGTGTCCAACAGCAGTGTCCACAGCAGGGACTTGAACCTTTCAGTTATGAACCCTGACCCTAACCACTGCTACTGGGCCCACAAAGAGGAATGTATCCCATTATGTCCTAATAACCGGATATGCCATCAGTTTTCTGAGCTACAGGCCCTAACAAATTCTCTTGCATTGCACTTTCCACTACACTGCACACAGCTAACCTTTTTTCAACACCACACAAGGTTTTACCATGCTTTCACAATCACATGCAAACCAGATGGGCAAGCTGTGCTGATCTGAACATCTCTTCCACGTCAAGCTCTTTGCAGGTTCCATCACATTTCTGATTTTGTTACTGATGACTGCAGCGCAATTCCAGTACCTGTACACAGTGGCTGAAAGTCCTGTCCATTGTTCAAAGACCTTTCCTCTTGCGAGCAGAGACAAGCATAGGGTAAGATGCATGAATTCTTGAATATTTGCATGCCTGAGTGGTTTGTTGTCTTACAGAAAGCTGGACGATCCCCAGCTGTTGGTACATTGAGATCCTTATTGATGACAACTGGCCATGAAGGTGCATGCAGCTAACCTTTGTGTCTCCCCTTTTTCTCCTTTTTGGCGCTGCCAGTTTGGGAGGCTGATGGGGCTGACTTTGCCTTTTTAGCAGACCTGGGTGCCTGTGGGTCCGTTACAACCTTTACATCCTCCTGTTCGGCTTCTTGCACTACGCAGGGAAGGGAGGAGGAGTTGGAACAAAAATGGAGGCAAGCACAGGAGACAAAGGAGAACAAAGAGAGAAAGAGAAGAAGACATAAAGATACGAAATACAGAGCAGAAAAAGAAGAGTACTAGATAAAGCTACAGAGCCAGCAGAGCCCACAGTGAAAGATGACACTGGCCAGATACAGAAAGCCTTTTAAACAGAGAGGTTTTAAACTAAATGCAATTTTATAGCACACTTTAGGCTATTCATAGGCTGAATTTTATAACCATAAAAAGAGCAGATTATTTCCTATGATGTTTCTGTCAAATCTGGCCCAAAGTCTCACCTTTACTTTTTTTTTTGCTTGAGAAACAGGCTGTTGTTTCTTTATGAACAAATGAAATGTAAGGTAGACTAATGAGCTGCTTTTCTATTTTGTTTTCTCACAGGTCACAGAGGAACATCTAATAAACTCCCTGCAGAAAACCTTAATAGCCAAACAAGCCACAGAGACATACCCTGCTTCTAAGATGAGCGCCAGGTTCGCAAGCAATTATTCAAAAAATAGCCAGCAAAGAAGATAAATTGATTGCCATAGAAAAAAAAAGAAAAGAAATATCAGAGGCAGAGGGAAAGAAGAAGGAAACTAAAAGCAAGATTATAGGATGCCCTTGTTTTTGTTATTCTAGTTGTAGTATAGCTCAAGCATTTTGCAGCTGTTATTTAATCATTGCACCCTTGGCTCTGGAAAGCAGTCACGTTTTAAAATCAGCGGTTTACCTGAAAGTAATATGCATTATGACTTCTGCCTGAAAAGGAAATTGATGGGAGTGTTATAAAATGAGACAATATTTGGATGGGTGCTACATGTACAGTACATGTATTATTATTTTCAGCCACCCAATACAATTGAGTCTTAGCTAGTAACTAAAACTAACTAGTAAAGAGACATCACTGGCAAGAAGAATATTGTTCTTCTTCGCTTACATACTTCATTCATCCTTTATATTTTGTTCCTTTCAGCGTTTAGGAAATGAAAGGCCTCTCTTGCTCAAGCTGAAGCCATGAATTATTGAACACATATTCAACTGTTTCATGAAACTTCAAGGCCTTCAAATTAAAGAATCCAATAACAGCCAAAATCATTCCCAGATTTGAAATTGTTTTCTTTCAATAATTCATGAAGGATAGCTTTGTGCGTTAGGTCCATGGATTAAAATCATTTAGCTTAATGAATGGAAACTGTGAGGAACACAAGAAACGCATGCTCCTCCTATATTTAAAAGATATTACTTGTAATTAAGTATTGGTTTGGCTGACAGAATCCTCTGCTTCTTTCAAAGCAAGGTAGCCCAGCAAAGACATGAACTACTGTATATATATACTTATTTATGACTTATATATTATATAAAGACCATCGTTTTAGAAGGCCTGGCAGCAGATGATGTCATGATGTTGTAAGTAACAACAATAACAAAATGAAAGTATGGTTATTGTAACAAATGTAAGAAAAATATTCAGGGAAAACCCCAACAAGTTTGAGACTAAACAAATTGAGGATTAAGGAAATAATCTGGCTTCATCCCAGTCAGTTTAAGGTATAACAGCCTGGTCTTGGCAGTAATATAGTTCACGGAGTTGGGGTTTTGCCTCTTTCCTGATACATTAAAAAATATGTATCAGAAGCACACACTGAATTTCCATCTCATAACAAAGAATGTGACATTCAAATTGAGAATAAACTCCCAAAGATGTTTGGCTTTGAAGATTTTATAAATATTGTGTTTTCAGCTTGTGGCAGTACCATCTCCCTAGAGATGTACGCTCTGTTTTTTCACAATATGTTGGCAGTTTTTATGCTGCTTTCTTGGGATCGGGCTCTGTATCTTTTGTAATTATTGAACGAGAAATGGCTCATGATCAGTTGACAGTAGTCCAGTAGTCTTTATCACTAACTCGAAACACCAATTTGCCAATTGGTTGTACAGCCAGGCTCCTACTGGAATTCGCTGTATGACAATGTTTGCACTTGAAGGGATTTTCTTTTGCAATAATCTAGAATTTTTTTGTCTTACTGCTCTGAGGTTCCACATGACATTCAAGCCCAGAATTTTTTTTCTTGATGCTATGCTGTGTTTTATAAAGTGAAAGTTAGAGACATCTCTATATTTGAGTAAAAGGCCTTTCATTGTACTTGTTAAAGCATGTTTTTAGTATCGACTGAGTATTTAAGTTGTCTTCATATTTTTAAGACCATAAAGAGATCAATGATTATTCGGTTCCCTGCAATGTTTATATAACCTATACTATTTTAATTCCCCATTACAAAACTGAAAGCTGTAAATTTCTTCTTGGGGGGAAAATGGTATTAATGATTCAAGTCTAAATGAAAACCTACTCTAAGCCAGCTTTGGAATGAATTAAACAATTTGTATAACAAGTAAGAGTGCTTTTGTGCAATGTTTAGTTCATATTACAATAATAGTGAACTAAAAGAAGAATTAAGGAAATAAAGATCTTACTTGTGGGTTACCTTCAAAGAAGAAGACTGATTGATTGATGTTAAAAAATCAAACTGGACTGTGGATTGACAGGACCTCTTATTACAGTTAGACAAATCTCAGCAGGACAAAGAACAAAGCTACATTGTTTCCTGACAGATATTTACAGTAAGTCTTATATTTTTGATGCAGTTGAGAACTTAAGTATTCCCTTGAGTCTAATCTTACCCCACTCAATGATTAAGTAGCTTTATAGCTTTTGTGGTGAAATGTGCTATGAGCCCTGCTGTAAATGCACGGTAGCTTCAGACTATATCAATCTTTTTTATATTACAGTTCATGTCCTTTGTTTGGTAGCAAACTCAGGAGAAGAGCTTGTACTGCCAACTCTGTAACAGAGTATCTAGTTTACAGTCCCCATTATACACAAGATACAAATTACCCTCTTTATCAAACACATTTTATTGTGTTAAGGACAAAGAAATTTAAAATGTGAACTGACTTTCAGTAGGTAATTTATCTTCATGGAAAGCTTGGACTCTATGCCAGAATCTTATGTATGGCTCTCGGTCATTGATAACTCACACACAAAGACAAACCTACCTAGAATGTAGTTGGAGGCAATATTTCAGATCGTACTTGATAAATAGCTATTGTTTTTTTCATCAGTATCTACAACTGTAGGCAAAAAACATATTTCCTTTGTTTTTAAAGAACTGCATAAATAGCCATTTGGGTCAATCATACTCTTAAACAGAAAATTCATCTATCCATTGTCTAACTGCTTTATCAAACACAGGGTCATAGGGGAGTCGGAGCCTGTCCTGACACACTCACTCCAATGCTATTTTTCTCAGAAGCCAATTAACCTACCAGTCTGTTTTGGGACTGTGGAATTAAACTAGTGCGCCCAGAGGAATACCCACACCAACACGAGGAGAACCGCTCACAGATAGCACCCCTGGGCCTTGAACCCAGGGCCACATCGCTGGAATGTAGAAATGCACCACCTTGCTGCCCTCAAACAGAACATGTGTTAATTACAATAGTGAAAGTACAGTTTCAATAGTCGAACAGCATAGAAGTGATTAAGCTCCTCAGTCTGGTCAATATTTCCTGTGGTGATTTACTATGGTTTTGTCTCTGCGGACACAAATGATGCCGTGAGAAAAAGCACAGAATCAAGAGACAGAAAAGGTCACGTATTTTCTAGAGCTAATTACAGAAACAGGTTGCCACGGGTCACATGTTGGTGTCTCTTACCGTGGTAGATGGTGCTGCTGTTGCTGCTGAGGTAGGACTCCACCAGTGGAGCCTGCTCCTCCGATTGCTTCGCCCTGCGGGTGCGAGAGCGGCCGTCGACGTTTGCCTGCACCATCAGCGGCTCCTGGCGCTTCTTCTTCTGCTTCTGTTCCAGAAGCGCTCGCTGGAAGACACGGGCCTCAGGTTACACTATCGCCACCAAAGGCCCAGGTCGGTCTACAGGAAGACAACGTCAGCCTAGTTGCCCCTCTTCCCCACTGTCTTGCTTCAGTGAACCAAACCACAGGGCGCTAAAACCCTTCACTGATCCTACAGGAAAACAGAGAACCTGATTCATGGTTTTAAAAGACCCTCCAGGAAAAGCCATGCTGCCTGGAGACCAGCAGCACCCTGAGAAGAGTCATTGAGCAGAAGTAGCGTGGGGGTCGCCATCACTGCCATCTTGGCCACATCCAAGATCTCATCGGTCACACGCAGAATTAAAACCACTCGAGTGCAAAATACTTCCAAAACACATCCGTCAGGACACATCTGCAACAGAAGGGGTTGGAAACAATCCCTGCCCTACACCGCTGCTTTGGCGAGCAAGTTCAAAATGACTCGGTAGCAACTGCAAGGGTGCTTTATTATGATGAAGCCAAGTGCGGTCTTATTGTGCAGTGAAGTAGTATGAAGGAGACACCACAGAAGGTTTGCTGAGGTCCGTGCCATGGACTGACATTGTCTTTTGTTGTTGGAGCATTCTCAACATTATAGGGCCCTTGATGTCAGCTCAAGGTAGCAGGTTGCTATTGTCGGTGATAATTCTTAGATCTGAACTAATATGGAACTAATACTGAACTTTAATATGGCAGCTGTTATGGAGGTCTTCCTGTGTATGCAATAATATTTGCACGCTTTTGTTCAAATGTGGGCATTCGCCAGAGGCACCAACCAGCCTTGTACAGGTGGAGTGGCAGAGGCGGGCTTCAACAACGACAAACCCTGTTTTCTCTTTTCTTAGGGTGGGGGGGGGGGGGCAGCTCTCACAGATTTTTTGCCACCCTGTTGCAGTGTTTTGACATAATCTGTGCAGTTGCAGATATTTAATTTTTTTAAATAGAGTGACCTTGTCTTAACAGGATGACCCTTATACTGTATGTTACTGGGTACTGAAGCCTTTCCAGTGAAAGAAGAGGCAATGCAGCATAGCCAAGAAAAGTTCAGTACATTGTCAACTATTTTTTAATTAAAGTATACAGCAGAAGGTACTAAATGAACTATTATTTTTGGCTGTTTTACTTTAAGAATGTTACAATAAGAGATAGCAATTATTGATTTAGTAGCTATGACTTTATTTATTTAGTAGCAAATACTAAATTTATTAAAGGATCTCATCAAAATCATTTTGTAAAGATTTCTAAGGTTCCTATAATCTTAGGTTCTTGGGACCTTAATGTTACAAGCATCCCTTTGAGTAAAAAGCACTGGTTGAGATTTTAATGTTAATTTACAAGCATTCCCAATGAACATCCTTCACATATTTTCATATCTGATGTTTAAAAGTATTCTGGCAAGCAAATGGTATGTGTAAATTGAATGTACAAGGTGTTCGTAACTAAGCACAACAAATCTTAAGACACGTTTAATTGAATTCTGTAAGTTTAGAGAAACAACAGATCCTAAACTGATAAACTCATCCTGCTGTGACTAAAAACACTGAAGATTAGAACAATACTGCTTTATGTTCTTTGATTTTTTTTTAAAAGACAAAAAATAATAAAGGGAGGTTTGTGTAACCGTGAAGCAACATTCAGGAAAGGAAATGCTGTCACAACACAAACTCGTACCGTCAGTTACTTACATAAGGATGATGTATTCTGACTTTTTAAATGTCAATCATATTTAGAAGTTGACTGTAACATTGAGAATAAAAATGAGACAGGCCTTGAACTAAGCTTCATTCACTCTGTAGATGAACACTTTTCTAGTGTTTTTTTTTTTCATCCATGTCCAGGAGCAACACAGGCAGATCCACTGGGCAGCACTGGAGCACAATGAAAAGCACAAATTGTCAGATGAAAAATTAAATTACTCCCACACTCCCTTTCACTGAACAAAAAGACTCATTTTAACTTGATCTCTTTGTTGTACAAATATTAATTGACTGCAGAACTACACACTACTTTGTACTTAAAGAAAACTGATTATTTTTTAGATTCGATTTCCACTCAGCAATGTACATTATTCTTAACGGGAAAATGGCTTTTTAAATGTTTCCTTCTTGACCTCATAAATTGGCAGACAGATGGGGGTTTGGAGATGTAACTGGTAACATTATTGCTTGATTCAGCTTTAAATATCAAAATTGCACATGAGTTGAGCAGTGAACCACAAATGCCTTTTACTACCTTTTATATTTAACATTTTTCCTGCTCTATAACTTTGGTGATTTTGAATTTCCACTGCTGCAAATTACTTTATGAATGTTTTTAGGGATTTCCTCTATCATAAAAGCTCCAGAGTTGTCATAAATGCTGAAAAACATTCCACATGGCCTAATCATAGTCACCTATGATTAGGAGAGAGTACTCTATAAAAGATCCCAAAGGAGCAGCTTGTAAAGCTTCAAGTGAGACTTACAAGAACAATTTCAATTACTAAGCTGCTCTAATGAGTCTGTTGAAGCGCAACTCCTCTTAAAACTTTACCCTGTACAATAACTATGCAGCAAGGGTGAAAAAAGGGAAAATTTGCATTATTATAATTTGTAAAAATCCCAACTGCAACTGAACGGATGGCTTTAAACTGAAGAAATCTACTCTCTCCTTTTGCAGGAAATTAACAAGTGTTTTCATCACATATTTTTAGAAAAACCCAAAGAGGTTAAAAGCAAATCTGAAAAATGATCTATCAATGGCTTCTTGCCATAGTCATAACTTGGACAGTATGGTTCAATAGATTTTTTTCCCAGTTCTTTTACAGGCTTAAATTAGTTTTGAATAGAAACACAGTGATCAGCCTAGCTTAATCAATCACGAGCAGCCGAACCACAGAAATCAATTAGTGGATCTAATTCTGTCTTCATCTCTACATAGCTTCTATTGAGTTACATTCAGAACCAACTACTATTTAGCCTCTTTTCCAACAGACTCTTTCTACATCTTCCTGCTCCTTTTTCTGTAAATATGCCATGAGGCCAATAGTGGAAAACCTGGGCATTACAGAAAAGCCACTTGACTTCTTTTGACATTAGTCAGTGAATGTCAATGACAATTCATATGAATTACTACACAGCATTTTTACAATGGAACTGTGGGACAGCATGCAGGCACTGACATTTAACACTAAATTCACATGTCAACAGTCTTTTAATGTTTAAATACTTTAATATTAGAATGGGTGAATAGGTGCACAACAAGTGCCACTATTAAGATCTAGAACATTTCAATCTTTCTGTTGACAGAAAAGCAATTCAATGATAAAGTAAAGTTCATTATAAAATATTGTCTAGTCCAACTCAAGTGTACAGATTTATTTCTACATAAAAGGGTAGCCCAATTTGTTTTTGACAGGGAATCCATATCATCAGCAAAAGATCCTCAAACCAAAATGAAGAAATTAATAGCAAGCGCATCCAATTTTGCGGAACTGCCTAGACCTAAAAACTTGTTTTCCAAAAGATTCTATTAATCAAACCTGGGTTTGTATTTTTTCCATTTTTATTGCATTTCTTTCATCACATTCATGTAATTGACTTTTTTTTTCAAATGTGTATTTGTAGAATGATTAATTTGGTTCTCAAAGCCTTTGCATATGCAATTTAAAATATATAAAACTTCAGCTCTCCAGTGCAGTATAGAATAATAAACTTCAACAGAAAACTAAGGGTCCTGTTGCCCTTCTTATAAAGATGAAGTGATGTTTATGCTTTAACTGCTTCAATTTTCACCTGCTTTGAGGATATTTACTATAATTAAAGGCGTCTGCAAATTTCTCTTCCTACAGTAAATGTCTTGTGATATAATTGGCTAACAGTCACTCAGCCAACACGCAGTACATTTTTTGTTTTGCCCATTTCTGGGAGCAAATGTCTTGGCAATGATGCGTCAGAAAAGGAACATCGTGTTCCGTCAGAAAACAGCTTTGACGTCAATAGAATATAAACGGCATTTTAATTACTCCTAAAGTGATTTACAATGATTACTCTGGCTGTTTTGTTAAAAAGGTATAGAATCATACCACAATACAGCTGTAACACTGCAAAATGTAATAACTACTGTACATTCTTAAGTGAAATGTAGATTTGTGCATGATATCTGCATTTGTCTTACAAACCCCAGGGAGGGACATTTCAAAGTATTGTAGGCAGTTGATTTTAACTTAATAAGGAAATACAGTTAATTGCACTGTGATAAATTATGCATGGAGGCTTTTGGTCTTCAGTAATATATAACCCCTCATTACAAATGAGATGTTATGATCAAAGACAGCTAATGTCAGTTAGCATACAAAATCTTAGTTTCACACTTACTAATTTTAATTTATTGAGTATTATTCATGTAAGTAAGATGTGAAAAGGTCTCAAATCCAACATTCCCTCTAGCTGTAATATAAAGATCATTACACACCTGCCAGTTTGCTTTTCTTTGTCTGGTGTCATTTCTGCACTCATCCATTAGAAGCGAATTACAGGAGATGCACAATTGCCAGTGCCTTCAAGTCCCGATCAGCAACTTGTCTGTGACAGGAGTTATCAAAGTCCATTGTGGGGGAAATTAACATAGAGGTGTATGTATTATGTACACAGATTTTTTCACTCGATTGCCAGTTGCCAGTGGTAAAGAAGAACATAGATTGGAAGTCGTTGGAAGTTTTCTTCATGTGCTGTGTTTTTCAGCTGAAGGGGGACAGTGGAAAGTGAAATGTTTGCCCCTGGGAAGCTTTGTCCAGGGCAGAAAGAGATGTTCTTTTTTAACCATTGGGAATGACACTGACACCTGCTGGATGTGTTGCATAATAATCCAAGTTGTCTACTTTATCTCATGCTCCAATGTCATTTAGTCAGACATTAATATTTAAGTCATTGCAAATTGGGTTTCTCAATGAGAAAAATGTCCAATAGTATACACTGCATAAAACATAGAAGCTGTGAGGATTTTCTGTCTTATAATGTACATATGTATGTCTATATACATCATTTTTACTTTATTTATACTGCATATATGCCATTTTTACATTTTAACAGTGAATGCAAATCAACACAATATGCAGATATAACCCTGAAAATCAAGGGGACTATTTTCTTAAATTGATATTTTTGGAAAAGTTCAAATCAAAATATTGCAGTAGGGTTTTTTTTTAATTGTCATAAAAGCATTCAGATTATTTAGTGACTTGAGATCTCTTCAACATATCTTACGGATGTTCCTTCTCGTATGAAATGACTATTTGTTTCTTATAATGACAACCAAAAGTAAGATGTTGTTGTTATTTTATGTAATGCGTTATGTGTATAGCTAGTCTTACAAGCATAAGCCTTTAAGGAAATCAAGATACTTTTTAAAATATCTCTTCCCTGGCGATTAAAAAAAAAAAGATTGCAATGTTAAAGTAAAAAAAACAGCTTCAAAAAGTTGTTTTTGTTTTCTTGCATCTACAACCCATGGCACCAAAGGACTTAAGACTTTAACAGCACGAGCTGATTAGTAGCCATCTGACAGAACTATTAAGTTGATCCTAATGATCATCTCAGAGGCCCTGGTGTTCATAGGTGTGGATCTCTGCAGTTCACTGTGAATAAATGAACAGACACACCTGGCAGTCTTAGTAGTGGGAATTCCTGCACTGTGACATTATTTTGAACAATCAGCAAAGCTGGAGCAAAAACTGAATTATAAAACTGTTCACGGTGTCTGAGCCAGTCTCCATAGTCAAACCACATGTCCTCTTTTCCAAAAACAGGAAAATGGAAGAACAAGAGGGTACATTTTATTATTCTATACCAACCCACACATATTTCTTGAACTGACTTCTCCAGTACAGGCAATGTGACAGTCAGAGTAGATGAAACTTCATTCTGGTGCCACTTCATAAACCTCTGGTGTCAAATAAAATATCTTTGCAATTTGAGCCTGAATTGGCCTGGCAAAGAAAATCACATCAATTATAAAGGAACAATGTCTCTTCTTGAAATTGCAACCAGGGATCGATGTTAATTGCAGACATGAAACTAAAGCCAGTCATGATTTTCAGTACTGAGTCACTTAAGTTAAATTGGATTCTTAGATGCTTTGTTGCTTCATGCTCTACCTTCTAAAGTCAGAATCTTATTTTCCAAGTGCTAAGTGCTATTTTCTAGAAAGCCCAAAGCTACCACCTAAACTAGTTTGGATTTTGAAGACCACTTGTGCCCTGCTACAGTATGTTTTATTCAAGGTAAAAAACTGAGTTACAAGAGACTGGTAAAAATAACATACAGTATTTTTAAAATCCAAACATATAAACATGTGCCTAGGTATCCAGAGAAAATGGATGGCAGGCCTATTTACAATTGTGCTCCTCAGGGAATTATGCCTGGTTAGAGCTGCTGTTTGCTTTTTATCCATTCACAATTATGCCATTCTGACTCGCTCTGTTCTCTCAAATGAAAATGATGAATTAATTACATCTCTATTGCATTACCAACCACGGGAAAACAAAGGAAGCTAATTTAAGGACAGTGCTGTAATTAAGTTAGTCAGTGTGTCTAGTCAGAGAGAGGAGAAAGCCACACGCCATCTTAGGCCTACCTGTCTGTCCAGCTTCTGCTGCCGAAGACTGCTGCCCTCGTCATCAAGAACACTGCAGAGAAAACACAGTCTGAGTGTTAATAGAGTGATGTGTTTCACCCACCATTTACACTTCATAAATATTGCATTTTTAGATTTTTGCAGAGCTACACATAACTTCAATTCAATTTATCACATGCACGCATGCAGTTTGCTCATTTTCATGTATGCTCGAATGCAAAGATATTAAGAAAAACCCCAAAATATAAACACAGAACAGCAGCAACAATAACAAAGTTAAATTACATACAACTTCAATACAAGTCAGCACAAGCCGTGTGCAAGAAATAACATCAGTGTGGGTCAGCGCCAGAGGTAGAATTCAATAATCTGACAGCTTGCAGGAAGAAACTGTCTCTGAATCTGGAGATACGTGCCTTTATGCTCCTGTAAGGCTTACCAGAGGGGAAGGGGAGAGAAAAGTGAGAAACCAGGATGACTGTTATCCTTAGCAATACTCCCAGCCTTCCTGAGACAGAGCGTTGTAAAAAAGTCCACAATATAGAACTTGTACTTCAAAAATGGACTGGGCAGACCTGATCACCCCCTTTAACGGCTTTAGGTCACACAACGAGCTGCTGTCAAACCACACTGAAATACCGCATGGGAGCACACACCCAAAAGCGTACCTGTAAACTGTAGTAAGAATAATTTTTCAATCAAATGGTTCAACTATCTGAAGAAGTAAAGGTGTTGTTCTTCTGCCCTACTCGGCACATTTACTTACAGTAATATGTATAATAGATTTGTTAGATTTGTATAATATTTGCATTTCCAAATATTTTAGTGGCTACGGTCCTAAATAAACTGTCTTCAGGAAACCTCTTGGATGTAACATACGGTAGCTGCTATTTTATTACTTTTTCCATAATTCATGCCATATAATGAATGAGAAGTAAAAGAACTGCCGACCAAAGACTCTTGTTAATGAGATGCTGAAGTGCTCTGCTGAGGGATTGTCTGAACTGAAGCTGACCACTGAGAGAAGAGGTCACCGCGCACAGGGTAGTAGTACAGTGCAGCCAAAATACACATACCGCTTACATGGAATTTTACATTTTACAACATGCTTGACTGGATTTTCCATTCTGAATAGTGATCTCAAAAGCATACCACTGACAAGTTTCCTTTTTGTCAGCTCTGAGTGGTAGCATAGGCTTACAGTACAATGATATTACACTATAGTAATATAACTATAATACAACTGGAAATTAGGGAACATCTACTGCAGATATGACATCTAAACATGCATATACATTATTCAGGGAATTCAAGGTGATTTTTCAAAAAACATACTATATAACAGAATTGCCCAGTGGGCTGGTTACCTTAAAAATTCTACAAAATCCTACACACTAAAAGCAAAAAAATATTTAAATTAAACCTCACAATAAAAAGAATTAAGGGGTATAAATTCAGCAGTGAGTCACAGATTGAAATTCTGGAAGTAACCCCATGAACACAATTAACTTCATACAGCTTTGATGCTTCCAGAAATAAAGAGCGAGTGTTAAAGGGTGAGAGTTGTTTATTGTCAAATATTAGTATACACTCATCCAATAACCTTTGTTTCCATTCATTAGCATTTTTTGGCACTAGACGTTTGCAATAAACACAGAATAAGGAAGTGCAATAAAATCGTGTGCAAAACTATTTATCCCTAATGTCCTGGAAAAATACTGTGAAGACAACTAATGTTAAGACATTACATAAGACAATCATTAAGTGGAATACTTGTTTTGCACTAGCAATACAGTGCAACTCTCATACAGAAAGATCTGTATTCATATCTTTAGTTATTTATTCACTGAAATTTCAATTCTAAGTTCATGTGGTTTGAATATACAGGCATTTTCATTTTAAAGAGTGGGATTACCAATAAAAATGATATAATTATGATTTAGAAATATTAATACCACTTGAATATGTCTTATTTCAACAGAAGGTTAGGTTTAATCTATTTTTATTTTTTCAACAAGCTACCTTGTTGCAATTGCTAGTGATATTCATTTTTCAGATGTCATATATTCAAGTTTATATTGATTTCTATGGTAGAAGTAAAAAAAAAACATTAACAAATTTGACGTTAGAAGTATTAGATAAAGCACAGAAAAAAATTACACAAAAACCAAAAGATGTTACACAGGACAGTTTCTCTAGAGGTATGCAGTCTACTTAATTTCAGAATGAGGCTCCTCAAAACTCGATCTCACAGCAAAATTCATGAACAATCATGAAAAAAAGAAAAAAGAAAAAGGTTCCATCCCTGCTATTATTGCGTATTTAAAATTGTAACAAAGCACTCTGCCTTGGATAAGTAAATTATGAGCAAGCCAATTTGTATTTAGTTTATAATTAATTAATTTCACACAATGTAGTGAAAAAAGAGAGTTCTACCTTCATGAGCAGGGTACACAGGACACCAGGCAGTGGTGTGGAATGGAAGACAGGCATGTACTGTAGTCCACAATAAAATTTCACAGCAATAGAACTGCAGTTTCATAGAAAAGCGAGACTCCTTTAATGACTTTATTGTTTTGATTTGCAGCTTGGTGGACTGTTTTACTAAATAACGTGTGTAACATGCTAAAAGAGATTTCTTAGCTAAAAATGTTTTATTGCTAGAAATGTTAAATAATACAAAAAGTACTCTGCTGGTCAACATTACTTTTTCTATACTAATACTATACCATACAAGGACAAGTCCAATCACAGCCAAGAGGACTCCTATCTCATTTCTGTTTTGATGTACCCTTCTTAATCAGTTTAATAATTGCCCCTAATTTGCATTTCTCTGAACTGCTTTGACCAACTACAGCAAAACCTTTTAACCTGCAAGTAAATACATACTGTATACTGTACAGTTTCCTTGCTCAAAAGAAGCAGAAGGCTGACAACTCCATGTCAATATTAAAATACTAGAAGATGACACTATAGTGGAGCTCTTTGTGAGCTTTGTTCTGTTGTCTACTACCTGGCCAACCAACATGATCGCGGATGTTATTTCAAAGAAAAATACAAAATTACCCATTCAAACCCTTATTAACCTCATCTTCCCAGCCCAATACATTTCCTTAACATTTAAACATAAAGAAGTGAAAAGGGCTAAAACAAAACCTCTGTGTTTATGAGCTGTTAAGGTATATACAGTTTCTGTGTCACCAGTTACTATAAAGAAGGTCACACACTTGGTTTACAGTATATAACGATTGAAAGGTAACGAGGACACTTGATTATTTGCTCCGAGCCCATTATTCAAAACCAAGCCCATAAATGTAACCTTTCGACATGACAGATAGCTCAAAGAGGCCAGTGCACCTCCAAAGCAGACAGACAACAATATGGGAAAGAGAGATAAGAGTCTGCTGGCTCAGTCTGACAGCTGGAGCGTGCATCCCTGACCCTTGTGCACTATTCTTGCAGCTGGCTGCTAGATGCTTTGTGATGGAGAATTTTTTGCAGATAATATAAAAAAACTGCATAATGGATTTTTTTTTGTCATCGTTGCTTGTGTTACAAAAGCTGGATCTGTTCCTCTAGCACAGATGAATCGTCTCACATTCCATCTTATGATAGCCTCTGTACCCTGTCCTGTATGTTACCTAAATTAAATATTAGTTTGCTGTGCAGACCAGACTGAAAATAAATCAGGAATAAAATAAAGTGGGTATTTTTAACATTAACATGCAGGGCTGGTGACTGTCGGCTTTTTCATGCATCAATTAGTTGAAACCCATTTCAAATATATTGTGCAAAATCAGCTGCTCCTGTCTTAATAATTCAGGCACAATTGTTATTAATGTCTAACATGTCCTCTGTGGACTTACCCACATAGAATCTTGTAATGAGACTTATGGTTCCAGAAGAAAAGCATTTGTATTAAAGTAGCATGAAGAGAACTGCTAGGAAATTCCATTAAGGAATAGGTTAAAACCAGTTCTGAAAGCATGACATACAGTGCTGAGTCATTGTTGTGGCATCACAGAGGTGAACACATACCTATAGACTGCAGAATACAGCTTCTGGGAATCTAAGCAACGGAAACTGCATCATCAAGTTTTAATGAGAGTGACTTAATCCAGTCCAGACCACTGAAAAATCTCATACTGGGTCTAGTTAAATATTAGTCCAGTTTATACATTTTTCATAACACGCCAGATCTGTCATAGGAAACCTTCATTTGAACCGTGTAACCTAGCCGGGAGATCATGTGTGAAGGGCATCTAATCCAGCAACATCCCACTAAGAAGGTGTAACAAATTGCTTAAGTGTCACCCTTTTCATTCACTACTCACAATCTACAGATGGCATCTCTGAAAGCTCTCTAATTAAAGCTAGTTTTGAGTATAGATGCCATTGTCTAACAACATAACTTTCATTCACTTATTTTACATTTTCTGTAAATTGTAAAATTGAGAAACCTACTGTATATCCAAATGTGAATCACTGCATTTATGTTATTTATTTATACAAGCACTATTCAATTTTATTTGCTTACAATGCATAACTCAGCTTTATGGCCACAATTTTAACATCTGTAATATTTCCCTTATTTTTAGGACAAACTATGCTTTTAGAAATATTGAAACACATTTGCAAGTCAAATGAAAACTGTGAAATTGGTTTGATTGTTCACAGCTTAATATGATTATGTAGGTTCAAGTAGGACACTGCACCCACAGGAAGCTGCTAAAAACATAGAGGTTAATTCTACTGAAAACCAGAAAAAAGGAAAAACATTTTCTTCAGGTGTAACCAGGTGAGAGGAATTAGCCTATACTTGTAACTTGATTAAATACTTCAAAGTAAAAAAATGACAGAAACAGTGCTCTAGCAGCATTTGTGCAGACGAGCTCTTAGGCAATCAAAGCTCCATTATTAACCATGAACACCAAAGAAATGAATAATGCATTCAAAAACCCTTTTAAGAACATAAGGAAGGTTACAAACAAGAGGCCTACGTATCTTAGTGGGTTGCTACAGCTAATTCAATCCAATAGTTTCATCCAGTCATTTCTTTAAAAAAGCCAGGGCATCAGTTCCGACAACATGGCACTGTCTGCTCCGCATGCAACCCTGATGTCTTCATTAGACATAGCAGCCTCAAACACTTAAAAACACCAGGTCCAATATAGCTTCGCTATAGGCGGCCATAACAATATAGGCAGCAAGCAGGCTTGGTAACTTATAGCAACCAGCAACCAATGAGAAGAGATGGAGCAGAGTAACCATGGTAATGGGGGATTCTCCATAGAAGCAGCACCAGAAGCACGGCTCCAAATGCTATCAACTACAGCTACACCTTACTTTTGCACCTAATATAACACAAACTGTTAATTGGTACAGAAATTATGAATTAACCTATCGGGCCGGAAGAAGCCAAACATAATCCTAATTTATGCTATGAGGAAAAGTAAGAGTTACCGTCTGATTATACACAGGCAAACAAAGTCTGACCACTCTTCAGTCTGTTTAATGCTGAAATGATTGCTTAAAAAGACTAATGAACAAAAGAAAAGCTCTTTGGGGATCTGCATGTTTCACCTACATTTGTACAAACAACTAAAGTTAAAAAATGACAACAGAAAAAAAAAACACTGCACAGAAAATTATTTATTACCATTTTATCAGTTTATTCTCCGCAAAGCCCCTTAACATTCTAGAGGAAAGAATAGGTGTACAATTGTTACAATTCAAGCAAAAATGTTATTCCTTTTAATTAAATTTGCCATAAGACAAATTGTGAAAAACAATTTACTGCAGATCATCAATGATACACTGCACAGGAAAGGATGTACATTCATGATCAGAATTCATTCCAGACTGAGAACTTAAAACCAGATCACACCTAAATGGGACATGCCCAATAAAAAGCATGAATGTTTTGATAATCTTGCAACAGTACAAAATTTTGTACTAAATAAGAATTTGTTTAGACAAGCTACACTTTTTCCAGACTCTTCTCCACTATGCACATATGTTAAATCACAGGAAAATTATATCATTACCTGAATAAATACAGCATCGATTATAGGAGATTAATCTTAACTTTTTAACATACTACCCAACCTCATCTTTGCTGAGGTGTCCATGCAAACATGCACTGTCAAACACTGAAGCACATTAGCCACGCAACAGAACTTTACTCCTCTGTCTCAGAAACCACATTCCCAAACCTGTGAAGCCACAAACAGACAAACATTACGTGCAGCCTATGGTAGCATATGCAGAGACATAGATGGCAGTACCTGTAAGGGATCCAGTCAGAGTAATGCTTAGAACTCATATCTCACATTGACATCTGCCTGAAATTTCAGCAAGACAGTCTGTAGCAGCAGACGATGATCCTTCTGATAGACCCCATGCATCCAGTGCAGCCTGACCATCCTCTGCTTCAGAAACGGTGCTTGTAAAATAGACGTCTGTAGCGACTTTTAATCTGCTGCTAGTTCCAGGCGCTAGCTACTGTACACAGGAGGCATGCACTGAACTGATGTCATTAAACTACACCCGAGATCCGGTTGAAATGTTCCTCAATCATGCATACAGAAAACACATTTTCCCTTTCTCTCTCACTCACTCCCTCTTGTGCACCTACTCTCCCTCTCTCCTGTCTCTCTCTCTCTCCGAGAAGCTTCAGCGCAGCCAGAATCTAGCATATGACCACAGTGAGTGACAAACAGGTAGCAGCAGGCCTCTTTTGTCAAGAGCCTTTGATGTCAGTGGTCCAGGGTTTTGTTTTTATTTTGCCCTCCCTGATGTTTAAGGATGCACACAGTCTGGAAAGGATAAAATGTTCTCCCTTTATCATGCTTTATTAATTCATTCCAAGTGCACGGCTCATTAGCATGGGACAACACGGAGAAGGGGTAATTTTCTTTTGATTTACCTAAGTGTTCCTCCTAAACAAAGAAAGACAGAGTGTAATGTAAAAATAAAATGCAGCATATTCTGTGCTAGTAACACATCTACATTCCCTCCGCTTTATTCTATGAATTAGCAGTAATGTGTGATTATTGTTAACCATAAAAAGAATAATGATGGTGACGATGGTGAAAAGGTCCAATGTTGTATTTTTATTGTATTGTATTGTATTGTATTTCTGCATGGGTTATTCTGACACTTTAATGTAGCAAAACTGAATAAAACTAAAAACAAGATTGATCCCACAACAAAACAGCAAAATGCTACTGACTTTGATGTCAGGAAAGATAGCAATATGCATTAAAAAATGAAATTCAGAAGTTCATTTGCAAGTTCCCATTAACCTCCTATTTCTGCAATTTTACTTTATCCTAGCATGATTGTGTTTACCAGTGTGCAATGTTTTTACAAAAAGTAAATCTAAAAATATGTAAAATGTGAATGCTTATTTATTTTTTTTTGTAAAACATACAGTACATATTAAATAAGCATCTGACAAATATTTTATTACTGGGTCTTTTAGTTTTGACTACATACTGTACAGGCATCTTACAAATGAGATTTAAATCGATGACCTGCTGTCATCACTGTGCTTTAAATGCTTCACGTTTTATTAAATATATACTGTATAGTATTTTATAGTTTATTAAGGAATACTCCATACAAATAATTGCATTTAACCTACATTAATTGATTCTAATGGCAAAGACCTTCATAAATCTGAAAAATGAAACTGAAGCTCCCATGTATGAGATTTTGTTTGGCATCCTTTCCTCATCGTTTTTAATAGACAAATTATATACAAAAGCAACTATTCAATGGGAGAAGGTCTATATATTTATTTAAGCATTGATGTTAATCTTAAATGACATGCAACAGTGATGCATTGGAGAAATTATCAGTTACAGTTCATAAAGAGAAGGCACAGCGGTTTGGGGTGATTTATGTTCTTGGCAGGAATTAAAGAAAAAATAAACTTACTTTTACACTTTGCATTCATGTAGCTATTGAGTTATTGACTTTTTTCCCAGATCCATTCTAATTCCAACTAATTCAGCAATGTCTTTGTCTTATTGTATTGTGCTTCAAAATGAAAATCATTCATTTTGTAACTTGTACAGTATCTCTATTTTGTTGTTCTTATGTGTAGCTTGAATACCCCAGGTTTCCCACTGTTACATAATGTCACTTTTATATTTGCCTGGCAGGCAGATCACCAAATACTTCCTTGGTACAGGTTTAGTGTGTGGTTTATCAAATAAAAATGACTAAGATCATTTAGAGGGCTCTTCATTGACTATATACTCTTTAGAAATGGTTGGAAGGCTTCAGTTTCTGATCAGTAAGCCCACATGGAAATTCATTCAGGGATCATTTGGAAATGATTAAGTGCAATGTTACTGCAAAATAGATTAATTTCTATGTATAGAACAATAAAACTTTTGGTTTAGGAGAACTAAATTAATTAAATAAGTTGGGAAATGAATATATCAATGGAATGTTTCTAAGTACAAATGACCTGAACTTGAGCACCTATAACCCAAATGGGTGGGAGTTATAAGTGAGAAGTGTGAAAAATACAGAGCTGACTGGCAAGTCTCCAGGTGCCGTCTCCTGACTGTTAGATGTAAGCGGCAGGTGAATGAACAGAGTCTGCCCCCATTCCAAAATCTGGGTTAAAACATTTGCTTTACATGTTTCCATGCTGAAAAAAATACCTCAAGAAAGAAATACAGTACACCCTCAGTGAAAGTCAAACTTATCATGCCAAGTGAACCAAAACGATTCAGAGCAAGAACATGACTTTGAGTGAGTCAATCCTATAGAAAATGTTGGAACAAGTCCAACAGCAGCAATTTAGAAGGTTTAGTCTCACCATTAACATACCTGTCCTAATAGAGAGACTTAATAGGCCACAGTGAAAATGTACTCCAAGCTATATTTCAATATCTTACTGACTAAGGTAAGATCACTTTATTGGCCATATACAGTACAATTTCTTGTATTAGGAATTTGTCTTTTCACATACTGGGGGTCAGAGCGCAGGGTCAGCCATTTATAAGGCGCCCCTGGAGCAGTTGGGGTTAAGGGCCTTGCTCAGGGGCCCAACAGAGTAGGATTCCTCTGCCGGCCGCGGGATACGAACCGGCAACCTTCCAGCCACAGGCGCAGATCTTAGCCACAGAGCCACCACTCAACTCCCATGAATCCATGACTCACAAAGCAAGGTCAACGTATAGAAAGAGTTGGTCATTGTTTTGGAAGAAACATTTCTCTCAAACATAAAGGATAAAAATTGAGCTTCAAACAGAATACTATGTTCATTCCACGAGGTTCCAATCAATTCTGACTTCAAGACAATATAGTTTGCTGTCATTCTGAATAACCACTCTTCCTCTCATCTCTTTTTAAACAGATAAAGAAGGAATTCTCTCAGAAACAAACTGAAAACAAATTATTCATGTAAACGTTGAGCACAAGATAAAATCTTTTTTTCACTCATTATTTATTAACTGAAATTTGATTTACTCCATCTATATATATATATAAACTAACACATTGCTTTAGAGGTATTCACTGTGCTACACGTGTTTGCGCATGACGATCCAGACAAATAATTTTAGTTTCATCTTAATCTTAAAATTCAAGATTGTTATTATGAGGAGATAAACTATCTATTTTTTTAATTTAAAGACATTACATCATTACTTACAAAAAATTGGTTTTTGACCCATCTAGATATTTGAACATAAGTTATCTAGTGCAGTACTTCAAAGCCTGACCACCAAGGTTAGCTTAACAGATTCTGAATTTACTATTTATAGAATCTGTCTAAATTATTAATCAGTTATTGCAGCTTGATTATGTTTTGTAGGAGTAACCTACAGTTTCATTTAAGAAGATAACCAGGGGCATGTGGAGAAAAAAAAATCTCTTGTTCTTCAGAGAGGAAAGTGCTTTCTAGAAACATATTCATCTACTGATGCTATTGCTAATAAACACAGATGGAACCCCTGACCATTGGAACCTCAGTATAACCTTAAGCAATAGTATGGCAACTGCAGTTTAATTTAGCACCTTTCAACTAGCTTAGATTTGTTTTGCCTGTCCCCCTCAAGCATACGTGCCACTTGAAATGTCACAAAGCTGAACATGTTCCTGCGACAGAAAACTATTATAGCTCACCACGTTCTATACTGTCAGAATGCACCTTTGTAATAGACAGCCAATGTGAGATTTTCAGGAATCACATCATGCTCAATGGCCTAAACCACAACAAACTTTAGTTGCTCAGTGAAAGGGATTGTTTTATTGGTCATTTTACTTTGACCTTTCATTACAATTCAGAGATAAATCACTTAGTTGGAGCTGTAAACCTGGAAGACAACAGTTTGATTTAAAAAAATAGCTTCTAGATACACAATGCACCAACCCAATCTGGATCAGGAACATCAGAGGACTGAATGTTATTACCATACATTACTGCCTACCTCATTTTGGGGGGCGTCCTTTCATATATTGTGTATTGCAGGTGTAACTGGGCGGGTACAGCAGGAGGTATGGATCCTGTACAGGACTCAGGAGAGAGGGAGACCATCAATCCAAATTGCTAAGCAAAAACGTATTCCAGGAAACAAGCAAGAAAGACTACTGATAGGGCAACAATCCAAAACGCAAGACGAAATAGAAAACGAGGAGCAAGCACGAAGATCAGATACCAAACACAAACTAGTAAAGAACATACGCGCACTCGGGAGCTCGAGGAGAATCCGCAATAGTGAGCAGGGAAGTGAGGAAAGAGGGGAACTGAAGCAGTGACGGGAGTGCATGGTGATACTGTAGGTCAATTAGTTGCAGCGTGAGCGTTTGTTAAACACAGTGCGCGTGGGAATGCGTAACAGCAGGGTTTTCTGATCCTGGTCAACATGCCCCCAGTTTTGGCTAATTTGTGTTCCAATCTAGCTCCTTTACTCATGAACTATTTAGAGCTGTAAAATATGTTAAATATAAATATTCATAGTGTAATGTCTCATTTTTATGCATTCCTATATTCATCATTTGTCAAGGAAAACAAAGAGAAAGGGACCCCCAAATTATTACACAAAACAATATATACAGGACATTTTTCCATATTGCTCTATCACTAATATGATCTAAATTAATCTTTTTTCATCATGAAAATACCAGTTCAGTAATGTCTTTGACATTACATGCCAGTTGAGTCCATAAACTACTATTACTATACAACAAACTATGATTCTCAGTTGTATAGCTGCAAGCTTTGTCTGACTATGTATGCAGATAAGAGTATATATTTAGGATTCTGGTTAAAGCATCATGAAAAAGTAAACAGGTCAGCTGTTCCAGGACTCAGTATATCTTACAATTAATTATAGTTAATGTACAAACATTCTGAGGATTTTGATAATATAAAAGATAAGGGCAGAATTTAATAAACAGGAAGCAGAGCAGGCACATTAAGTGCTATACTATACTCATGCAAGAAGTCCGTAAGATAAGTTGGAGTTGGACCATTCAGTGCATTATAAATGAGCTGAAGAAAACATATTCAGAATAAAGTGTTCAATTTCATAGCAAGCTAGTTCACTTTACACATAAGACCTTATAGGCTGATGCAGATCAGTTTTAGCTAGCACATAAATCACTGAATTC